CTTCGGAAGCAGCAAACGAAGGAGTCTGGATGAAGGAGTTCATATCCGATCTGGGTGTCATACCTACTGCATCGGGTCCAATGAAAATCTTTTGTGACAATACTGGTGCAATTGCCTTGGCGAAGGAATCCAGATTTCACAAAAAAACCAAGCACATCAAAAGACGCTTCAATTCCATCCGGGATCTAGTCCAGGTGGGAGACATAGAGATCTGCAAGATACATACGGATCTGAATGTAGCAGACCCGTTGACTAAGCCTCTTCCACGAGCAAAACATGATCAGCACCAAGGCTCCATGGGTGTTAGAATCATTACTGTGTAATCTAGATTATTGACTCTAGTGGAAGTGGGACACTGAAGGAAATATGCCCTAGAGGCAATAATAAAGTTATTATTTATTTCCTTATATCATGATAAAAGTTTATTTTTCATGCTAGAATTGTATTAACCGGAAACATAATACATGTGTGAATACATAGACAAACAGAGTGTCACTAGTATGCCTCTACTTGACTAGCTCCTTAATCAAAGATGGTTATGTTTCCTAACCATGGACAAAGAGTTGTCATTTGATTAACGGGATCACATCATTAGTTGAATGATCTGATTGACATGACCCATTCCATTAGCTTAGCACCCGATCGTTTAGTATGTTGCTATTGCTTTCTTCATAACTTATACATGTTCCTATGACTATGAGATTATGCAACTCCCATTTGCCGGAGGAACACTTTGTGTGCTACCAAACGTCACAACATAACTGGGTGATTATAAACGAGCTCTACAGGTGTCTCCAAAAGTACATGTTGGGTTGGCGTATTTCGAGATTAGGATTTGTCATTCCGATTGTCGGAGAGGTATCTCTGGGTCCTCTCGGTAATGCACATCACTAAAGCCTTGCAAGCATTGCAACTAATGAGTTAGTTGCGGGATGATGTATTACAGAATGAGTAAAGAGACTTGCCGGTAATGAGATTGAACTAGGTATGGGATACCAACGATCGAATATCAGGCAAGTAACATACTGATGACAAAGGGAACAACGTATGTTGTTATGCGGTCTGACTGATAAAAGATCTTCGTAGAATATGTAGGAGCCAATATGAGCATCCAGGTTCCGCTATTGGTTATTGACCGGAGACGTGTCTCGGTCATGTCTACATTGTTCTCGAACCCGTAGGGTCCGCACGCTTAAGGTTACGATGACAGTTATATTATGAGTTTATGCATTTTGATGTACCGAAGTTTGTTCGGAGTCCCGGATGTGATCATGGACATGACGAGGAGTCTCGAAATGGTCGAGACATAAAGATTGATATATTGGAAGCCTATGTTTGGATATCGGAAGTGTTCCGGGTGAAATCGGGATTTTATCGGAGTACCGGGAGGTTACCGGAACCCCCGGGGAGGTATATGGGCCTTAGTGGAAGAGAGGAGAGGTGGCCATAGATGGGCCGCGCGCCCCTCCCCCCCTTGGTCCGAATAGGACAAGGAGAGGAGGCCGGCCCCCCTTCCTCCTCTCTCTCCACTTTTCCCCCCTCCGCGAATCCTATTCCAACTAGGAAAGGGGGGGAGTCCTACTCCCAGAGGGAGTAGGACTCCTCCTGGCGCGCCTCCTCTTGCCCCCCCCCTTTGAGCCTTTTATATACGGAGGCAAGGGGTACCCCTAGACACAAAAAGTTGATCCACGTGATCATATTCTTAGCCGTGTGCAGTGCCCCCTTCCACCATAGTCCTCGATAATATTGTAGCGGTGCTTAGGCGAAGCCCTACGACGGTAGAACATCAAGATCGTCACCACGCCGTCGTGCTGACGGAACTCTTCCCCGACACTTTGCTGGATCGGAGTCCGGGGATCGTCATCGAGCTGAACGTGTGCTAGAACTCAGAAGTGTCGTAGTTTCGGTACTTGATCGGTCGGGCCGTGGAGACGTACGACTACATCAACCAAGTTAACGCTTCCGTTGTCGATCTACAAGGGTACGTAGATCACACTCTCCCCCTCTCGTTGCTATGCATCACCATGATCTTGCGTGTGCGTAGGAATTTTTTTGAAATTACTACGAAACCCAACACTTATAGCTCTAGTGCATCCGTTGCATGGAAATCCCTACTCACTCACATTGATATCTATTGATGGGCAACTTCATAGCCCGTTGATACACCTAGTTGATGTGAGACTATCTTCTCCCTTTTTTTCTTCTCCACAACCACCATTCTATTCCACCTATAGTGCTATGTCCATGGCTCACGGTCATGTATTGCGTGAAGATTGAAAAAAGTTTGAGAACATCAAAAGTATGAAACAATTGCTTGGCTTGTCATTGAGGTTGTGCATGATTTAAATATTTTGTGTGATGAAGATAGAGCATAACCAGACTATATGATTTTGTAGGGATAGCTTGCTTTGGCCATGTTATTTTGAGAAGACGTGGTTGCTTTGTTAGTATGCTTGAAGTATTATTGTTTTCATGTCAATATTAAACTTTTGTTTTGAATCTTATGGATCTGAATATTCTTGCCACAATAAAGAAGATTACATTGATAAATATGTTAGGTAGCATTCCACATCAAAATTTCTGTTTTTATCATTTACCTACTCGAGGACAAGCAGGAATTAAGCTTGGGGACGCTCGATACGTCTTCAACGTATCTATAACTTTTTATTGTTCCATGCTATTATATTATCCATCTTGGGTGTTTTATATGCATTTATATGTTGTTTTATATGATTTTTGGGACTAACCTATTAACCTAGAGCCCAGTGCCAGTTTCTGTTTTTTCCTTGTTTTTGAGTTTTACAGAAAAGGAATACCAAACGGAGTCCAATTGACATGCCAATTTTTGATGATTTTTTATGGACCAAAAGAAGCCTCCGGAGTAAAAGAGTTGGGCCAGAAGAGTCCCGAGCCATCCACGAGGGTGGAGGGCGCCCTACCCCCCTGGGCGCGCCCCCTATCTCGTGGATGACTCGGAGACCCCCTTGGCGTGAGACCGACGCCAAAAATTCCTATAAATACAGAAACCCCCAGAAAAAAACCTAGATCGGGAGTTCCGCTGCCGCAAGCCTCTGTAGCCACCAAAAACCAATCGGTACCCTGTTCCGGCACCCTCACCGGTGGCCATCTTCATCATCCCGGCGCTCTCCATGACGAGGAGGGAGTAGTTCACCCTCGGGGCTGAGGGTATGTACCAGTACTATGTGTTTGATCTCTCTCTCGTGTTCTTGATTTGGCACGATCTTGATGTACCGCGAGCTTTGCTACTATAGTTGGATCTTATGATGTTTCTCACCCTCTACCTTGAAATGGATTGAATTTCCCTTTGAAGTTATCTTATCGGATTGAGTCTTTAAGGATTTGAGAACACTTGATGTATGTCTTGCGTGGGATACCCGTGGTGACAATGGGGTATTCTATTGATCCACTTGATGTATGTTTTGGTGATCAACTTGCGGGTTCCGTGACCTTGGGAATCTATGCATAGGGGTTGGCACACGTTTTCGTCTTGACTCTCCGGTAGAAACTTTGGGGCACTTTTTGAAGTTCTTTGTGTTGGTTGAATAGATGAATCTGAGATTGTCTGATGCATATCGTATAATCATACCCACGGATACTTGAGGTGACATTGGAGTATCTAGGTGACATTAGGGTTTTGGTTGATATGTGTCTTAAGGTGTTATTTTACTACGAACTCTAGGGCTGTTTGTGACACTTATAGGAATAACCCAACGGATTGATCGGAAAGAATAACTTTGAGGTGGTTTCGTACCCTACAATAATCTCTTCGTTTGTTCTCCTCTATTAGTGACTTTGGAGTGACTTTTTGTTGCATGTTGAGGGATAGTTATATGATCCAGTTATGTTATAATTGTTGAGAGGACTTGCACTAGTGAAAGTATGAACCCTTGGCCTTGTTTTGAAGCATTGCAATACCGTTTGTGCTCACTTTTATCATTAGTTACCTTGCTGTTTTTATAATTTCAGATTACAAAAACCTATATCTACCATCCATATTGCACTTGTATCACCATCTTTTCACCGAACTAGTGCACCTATACAATTTACCATTGTATTGGGTGTGTTGGGGACACAAGAGACTCTTTGTTATTTGGTTGCAGGGTTGTTTGAGAGAGACCATCTTCATCCTACACCTCTCACGGATTGATAAACCTTAGGTCATCCACTTAAGGGAAATTTGCTACTGTCCTACAAACCTCTGCACTTGGAGGCCCAACAATGTCTACAAAAAAAAGGTTGTGTAGTAGACATCAGCGTGGGGCAGACGGCTCCAGCGGCGACCCGCGGCGGCTCCGGCGGCTCCAGCAGCGACCCGCGGCGGCTCCAGCGCCGACCGCGGCAAGCGGCTCCAGTGGCGGCGGCGGGTGCGGAGAGCCCGGGCAGCCGGAGGCGGGGGCGCGACTGCGGAAGCCGCATCATGCGAGGAGCTGCAGCAGGGGCACGACAGTGGCGAGCCGTGCGTGGCGGAGGCGCGGCCCGGGCGTAGCAGGTGTGCGCGAGCGCGCGTGGTACGGGGACGGGGACCACGTTGCGCATGGCGAGGGGCGGCCACGAGCGCCGCGGGCGCGCGCATGCGGGTGCGGCTCGGAGCACGAGCTCCGGCGCTCGGCCACGGCGTTGATGCGGCAAGTAAACCGAGTGGGGGAGTAGAGGGGAAGCAGCGGGCGCTCACGATGGTGACGGGAAGCTGCACGGGGTGGTCGGGGATGCGGCGAAGAGCGGCTCCGGTAGTTTGCGGTGCGGCGAACTGCTCGTGAGGAGGAGAGGTTGTGCGGGCGAGAGGGTCACCGGAGAAAGAGATCGATGCGGCAGCGACCTTCACCGGAGGCGGAGAAGATGAAGTACTCCCGCGGCGGTTGCTCCGCACGCACGCAAGGCCGCGACACACCAGCACGGCCGAGGCGGCTCCAGCCGACGTGGTTGCGCCGCTGTCTCCAGTCCTGACCAACGCCGGAGAGGTGCTTCGCTGGGGTGTCGCCATGGAGAAGAGTGCGGAGTGCACAAGAGGTGTTCGAGGAAATGCCAGAGAGAGAGAGAGGAGGAGGAAGGAGATTGATGCTGACAGGTGGGTCCATCCTGTCAGAAAGGCGTTTAGAAGAGGCGAATCAAGCACTTTCGCGACATGGTAGTTTTTAGTCAAAGATTAGTGAAAAGTGATAGTTTTTTGCTCAAATTTGTAAAGTGATAGTTTATAGGCACGGTTTCACGAAATGTGATAGTTTTTTTGTTAAATACTCTAGACGAGGCCACCGCCTGCTCTCGAAGTCCATGTCCCTGTCCAGTACCAATCGTGCACAGAATCGCCGCGCTGTACTGCAAGCTCGGCGCCCCTACGGGTGCACGGCGCCTCATCGAGGGAGCGTCGCGGGGTGAAGCGGAAGGAGGCTGCAAGAAGGTGCTCCAGCTGCACGAGGAGATACCCGCGGCATCCAGCAGGGTAAGTGTGGAACACCCGCTTCGTGGTGCCCGACATTGACGAGGGCTCTAAGGAACATGCACTCGTGTACCACAACGAGCCATCTTTTTTTTTTACCTCTCTTCAAAAAAAAAACGAGCAATCTTTTTTGATTTTGCTCCTATCTCTACATCTCTGCTTAAATGGTGCTCACAGCGAAAGCTGGTTGCATTTTACTCTTTTCTACTCTCTCAGATCCTAAATATAGTTATGTCTTTTTAGAGATTCCAACATAGACTACATAAGAGGCAAAACGAGTAAATCTACAATCTAAAGTTATGTCTATATACATCCGTATGTAGTCCGTATTGAAATCTCTAAAAAGACTTATATTTAGAAACTGAGAGAGTAACATCCAACAGTGATCTTGATTTGCTAGTCATGCTCTCTCTAAGTAAGTGACATGGAGACTTTTAGAGGCACTTACATTGCTGATGCAAATGTAGTTATACACAGCATGTGAGATCTATGAATATGCCGAATGCTTTTCTATAGAAGCTTTAACAGTGGTCCCAGCTCCTGTATGGCTATCCTTATCTCAGTTTCTGTTACATCATGTTTCAACGACCTTGATGATCATAAAACAATCCATGATGCAGCTAGTTAAGTGGTTGTCTGCCTCTTCTTGCATATTGGGAGAGCGATTGGCTTTCTCAAACTTGTCTTGTCCGCTTGTCTCTGCTCCCTCCTTATGTAGTACAGTATCAGTTTTCTTCTTCTTCTCACAACCAATATATTTCTGCTTTTTCTCCACCCGGATTGACCCAAAACGCCTAATGCTGTTTTGGAAAATGACTGTAGGTCACATACTTAGTATAAGCTCCAGGCTTGGAGGAGACTGCCTTTTTTGCAGTTTCCAACTAATTTACCATGCCGACATATTTATTTAGTCCAATATTTTTCATATTATTTATATAATCAAGTGGGTTTCCGGATGGACCTGCGGGCCAAAAAACCTGGACCTGAAGCTAATTCCGATCGTCGAAAAGCTGAGCCGGGCAACAAGGAACAGATCTGTAGGGCATCACCTGTATCCCATTATGGACAACTTTTAATCATATTTTGGTCAGTTGTTGCGCAATACATCACTATGAATGGATAATTTAGCTAATCCTGTCTTGAGAATACCACTTTATATTTTAGAATCCTTTCAGTTTACAGGTTGTGTGGCTGTGCGCTTCAGGCCACTGCTGCTGATGCTGAGTGAGACTGTCAGCTAAAGCAACACATTTGATTCAGTGCTTTCCCATAAAACAGCAACGCCACCAGGTTTGTTTCTAGATCATTAAGTTTACTCCCAATTGAATGAAACCTCAGTATACATCCTTGCAAATAGGCAGTAGCTACTCCAGTATTTTGTGTTTGAGTGTGAGATAAGCGTCGCATTGATGAGGCTCATGAAGTTATTGTTCTCGCGGAGTGGGTTATACTGAATTCATGCTCCAGTCAATTCATTCAAAAGTCTGAACTGTGGGAGAGGATCGGACATTATACTCCAGCAGGTCACGTAGCTTTCCAGTTTTATGAAACATAGCAATTAGCAATATTCAACAAAATCGGTACTGATTTGTCTCTTTTGTTTTTTAAACAAGGCAGTACTGATTTGTCTCTGGAATTTATGGTGGATGGCGTATCTTGGTGTTTGATAAACAGTGCTCAATAAATGGTTTCCTTGAGTATGTTTGCAGTGATGTATGCAATGGTGCAAGGAAGTGATGGACCTTATCCGTTATGCTTATCACTCTCGAGTGAGCTGCACATGGAGAAAAGATCAGATGACGGTCCAGCCTGGAAGAACATGCATGCTGGAAGGTGGGGAGAAAGGAAAGGAAATGAAATGAAGCTATATGAGCCTATATGTACACCCGAACTAGCAAGGCAAGTCCATGTTACCCTGTTAGGCATAAACCCCGTGATCTGTTATGCATGCCTACTCCACTGCCTTCTTAAAATCTCATCTTCTTTTTCTGCGAGAATTTTTCACTTTCCTGTACGATAAATAACAACTGCATAGAAATGCTGCAATTGATTTTAATTATGACAGCATTTTATATACCAGGAATCCTGTCCTCATAATCTAACGCGTTTTCAGCCAAAAAGGGAAGAAATTCTAAAGCATTGTAAGCCGCCTTTTGCCCTACTTGTGTACCTGTCAGTTGAATTTTTTCCTCCACTCCATCCATTTCGAGCTTTCTAAAACACATCGATTACAAGATAACAAGAATCCATGTTGAGCCCACTTGCCTTCTTGCTGTGCTGCTATAAAGATGCGTCACTCGTCAATCTCCACAGCCTCTTACTATAATCTTCTGTGTCTCTCTCTGCATGCACATTGCTTGCTTGCCTATCTCATTGCTTTTGCATAATTTCCCTCAGATCCTGTCTTTCTGCTATTTTAATCCATGATTTCATCTTGCAGTTGCAGACAAGAACAGCGAGGCCAGCTCCAGCAATATGAGCCTGAACTCTGAAGAAGGTTTGATGTGCAAAGATATATCGCACTCGTCGCAATCTAGTGCCCCTTCCCTGGCCCATCCCCTGAGCCCATGCCGCTACCAGTGCGTCTCCACGCTCAGACGCCACTCCTCCTACGTCTCTGGCCTCGCCGTCGACGGCATCTCGCTCTACGTCTCCTCGTCGGACGGACACATCAGGCTGTGGCCACTGGACATGAGCAGCACGACCGTGCAACACGAGGGCTCTGTTGTTGCCGCCACCAATAGCTCCATAAAGTGCCTCATGGCCACCAGCGATGGTCTCGTCAGCGCCCACCAGGACGGCAAGATCAGGGTGTGGCAGCAGGCCGGCCGGCGGAAAGGCGGGAGCAGCCACCTCGCCCTCCACGGCGTGCTGCCGACCACCGCGGACTGCCTGCGCACGTTCCTGTTCCCCAAGAACTACGTCGACGTCCGGCGGCACAGGAGCCGCACCTGGGTGCACCACGTGGACGCGGTCACCGCGCTCGCGCTGTCCCCGGACGGCGGGTACATGTACTCCGTGTCCTGGGACCGGAGCCTCAAGGTGTGGCGCCTTCCCAGCCTCCGCTGCGTGGAGTCCATCACCCCGGCCCACAACGACGCCATCAACGCCGTCGCCGTGTCGTCGGACGGGCACGTCTACACCGGGTCGGCGGACCGGACGATCAAGGCGTGGAGGCGCCACCCGGGGCAGAAGAGGCTCGCGCTGGTCGGCACCATGGAGCGGCACAGGTCGGCGGTGAACGCGCTGGCGATGGGCGTCGGCGGGCTGGTTCTCTACTCCGGCTCGTGCGACCGGTCCGTCGTCGTGTGGGAGGGCTTCGACGCCGGAGGCGCGGCGTCCACCAGGACTCTCAGGGGGCACGCTGAGGCGGTGCTGTGCCTGGCCGCCGCCGGCGATGTGGCGTGCAGCGGGTCCGCGGACAGGACGGTGAGGGTGTGGCGACGGGGAGCGGAAGGCGAGTACTCCTGCTCGGCCGTCCTGGACGGCCATGGCGCGGCCGTGAAGAGCCTGGCATTGGTGTTGACGGGAGGCGACCACGGCAGCGAGTGCGAGGAGAGCCCGCGCGGTGGCTGCTCCGCGCTGATTTGCAGCGGTTCGTTGGACTGCAATGTGAAGATTTGGAGGGTGACTTGACTTGGTTTGTGCTAGGACTAAGCCGGCTTCTGAAACTGAGTTGACGAGAGTCTTAAAGCTGCACCGTGTTGGAAGGCTTGGAGCTGTGCTTCATGACTGCATTTTGATCCGTGCATGCCATGAAGATCGGGCCTTTGTCTCACTGGTTATCTTGTGTACTTCCATGGTGCGTTTTGGCGAGTTCACTGGTCTTCAAGTTGAGTTGAGTTGAAGGGAAAGCGTGTGTTTGGGAACGGGAGTGTATGTCCCAATCGGGGTGTCTCAGCTAGTTTGTCACATGTGTTTGCACTGGCGGCGCTGAGGGTATTCATGTGTATTCGTATGAATACCCATTATTGAGCGCAAAAAAAATAATTTAATACATAGCTGCAACGCACGGCCCACCGCTCGCTCCCTTCTCTCGCTCGTTGCCTCGTTCGGTCGTTCCCCAATCCCCTCCCCTGCTCGAAACCTAGCCGCCCAGGCCCCGCTCCCGCTCACCGAGTCACCGGCCGCCGCCCCGCCCTCATCCGCTCAGCGCCGCCGGTGCTCGCCGACGTCGCCGTCCGCCGGCCGCCCCTCAGACTGCATCGCTGCGAGCCTGCGACGCCGCCCCGCCCCGGCGCTCGCCGTCCGCCGGCCACCCCTCGGACTGCATCGCTGCGACGCCGCCCCGCCCCGGCGCTCGCCATCCGCCGGCTGCCCCGCCCCAGCCGCCCATCGCCCGCCGCGGCGCCGCCCAGCGGCATCTTCTTTCTCCCGCCTGCGTCAGTGCCCTGCGTTCAGGTACAGTATTAAAGAAAACAAAGTTTCAGTTTTTTAGTTGATTCGATTTTGCAGCTGGAGTAGGATTCTTCCTTGTTTTGTTAATTTGTAGACAGTTTGTAGGATTCTGGCTTGTGGATGCAACGCACGGCCCACCATCATATCCTGTTTGTAGTCTGTAGATGCTAATTTCTTCCTTGTTTTGTTGTAATGTAGATGAAGAAGAAGAATGGGACTGGTGGTGGCAATAGGATTCTGGCTTTGTGGGAAAAAGCTTCAAAAGCAAAGAAGATTGATGAAACTTCTACACCGAATCAGAGTGCAGCTGCATCGGGTACTTGTACCTCTCATGTTCAGCTTGAGAGCAATTTGCAATTGGCGTTAGTGCAAGCACCGGATGCGGAATGTGAACCGGAGAGCAGAGAAGCAACCCCAACCCCAATTGATAAAGATGCTGAAACAAGTGATGCAGATGATGAACCAATGGAAGCAAATTTGGAGGCACTCGAACATGATCCTGGGAAGCGGATTCCCATCTCAATGTATGCTGTCAATGACCAAGATAGAGTAAGAAGAAGATATATTGAGATGAAGCCATGTCAACCAAAGAATCATAACTTTGAGTATACAAATAAAAGTGGAGTTGACCGTCGCTTTTGTCGTGCTTGGTTTAAAGAATTTCCATGGATTGAGTATAGTGTGACAAAAAAAAGTGCTTTCTGCTTTGTTTGCTATCTGTTCAAGGATAAGACAAAATATCCCGGTGGAGATGCATTTGTGAAGAATGGATTTAGGAACTGGAACATGAAATCGAGATTGAAGAAACATGAAGGTGAGGTTAGTAGTGCTCATGCTGAAGCTCAAGAGAAGTATGATATGTTCACTACACCACAAGCATCATTTAGGGAGTCTTTTGCTTCAAACACCTCACAATATAAGGCTTTGTATAAGCAGCGTTTGACATGGACACTCAAATGTTTGAGATTTCTATTGCACCAAGGCTTGGCATTTAGAGGACATGATGAAAGTGAAAACTCACTAAATAAAGGAAATTTTCTTGAGCTTTTAAATTGGCTAGCTGGAAATTTTGAAGAGGTTGATAGGGTTGTTCTCAAAAATGCTCCACAGAACTGCAAGATGACTCACCATGATATACAACATGAGTTAATAAAATGTTGTGCACAGGAGACTACAAAATTAGTCATTGAAGAACTTGATGGTAGCCACTTTGCAATACTTGCAGATGAGTCTAGTGATGTGTATCAGAATGAACAGTTGGCAATTTGCTTGCGTTATGTTGATAAGAAAGGAAGGGCTGTTGTAAGATTTTTTGGTGTTGCTCATGTTCAAGATACTACCTCTTTGACACTTAAAGCTGCAATTGAGCAAATGCTTATGAAGTACAATTTGACCTTTGCAATGGTTCGTGGGCAAGGATATGATGGAGCTAGCAACATGAAAGGTAATGCTAATGGCCTAAAAAAACTGATTATGGATGAGTCTCCTTCTGCCTACTATGTTCATTGTTTTGCCCATCAACTACAGTTAACTCTTGTTGCTGTTGCTAAAGAGAGTGGTGATTGTACTTGGTTCTTTCAACAACTTGCACACTTGTTAAATGCTCTTGCCATGTCTTGTAAAAAGATGAGAATGCTTCGTATAGCTCAGGCTGAGGAACTCATTGATGCATTGGAATTGGAAGAAGTAGCAACGGGGAGTGGGCTGAATCAGGAAATGGGTTTGGGAAGGCCATGTGATACACGTTGGGGCTCTCACTTCAAAACCGTGAACCATGTCATCTGTATGTATGGTGCAATACGACGAGTCCTCATCAAGATTGGAAAAGAGTACCATGGTGCGGAGGCGCAAGCGGCTCTAACCATATGACACCATTTCGATCATTTGAGTTTGTTTTCATGGCACACTTGATGCAAGAAATATTTGGATACACAGATGAGTTGACTAGAGCTTTGCAAAAGCAAGACCAAGATATTGTTCATGCTATTGAGCTTGTTGATATCACAAAGTATCACTTGGAGGGTTTGAGGACTGATCCTGGATGGGATGATTTTCTCAAAAAGGTCACATCTTTTTGTACAAAGCATAAGATCAAAATTGTTGATATGGAGGGTCCTTACTGTCCCGCTGGCCGGCCTAGAAGGGGTTTCTTTAATGGTGCAACGAATTACCATCGCTTCAAAGTTGATATGTACGTGAGTGTCATTGATAGTCAAATTAGTGAGTTGAATGGCAGATTTGATGAGGTAAACACAGATCTACTTTCTTGCATGGCAGCATTTTGTCCACTTCGTCTATTTGCTGCTTACGATCAAGAGAAATTGGTTAGGCTTGCTACAAAGTTTTATGCTAATGATTTCACAAGTGATGAACTGGCAAGACTTCCATGGCAACTAAACATGTATGTTACTCATGTGCGTAGAGATGAAAGGTTTCAAAACTTGAAGAATCTGTGTGAGCTTTCAGTTATGCTTGTTGAGACAAACAAGCATGAACAATACTATATTGTTTACAAGCTTCTTAAATTGGTATTAATTCTGCCAGTAGCTACTGCTAGTGTTGAAAGGGTGTTCTCTTCAATGAACTATGTGAAGAATAAGCTAAGGGGCAAAATGGGTGATGATTACTTGAATAATTGTTTGGTTACATTTGTTGAGAGAGAATTCTTCAATCAAGTAAAGGATGAGAATGTCATCAATCTCTTCCAAAAAGGCGATCGCAAAGTTATATTGTAAGATGGGATATCATCAATCTGTCAATCAAGAGGTACTGGTGTCTTTATGTTTATGTATAATTAGTATGGTTTGATGCATTAAAAATTACTATTGTTGTACTGGTGTCTTTATAATACATTTAGAGTAATTTTTTTGTGCCAATGAATATCCAGCCTCAAAATCCTGGCGCCGCCACTGTGTGTTTGTCCATGAATATATGCACTAGTGGCAGTGGCGCGATCGGTCGGCTACCGGAGTGGTCAGAATTCAACGTGGAAGAACTGTGCAAATGATGATAACCGGTTTGCTATTCCTTAGTCGTCCTATAGGTACTTAGAATAACTTCAATGGTGCGACCCATTTCGTCTGCGGTTGTTCGTTTGGGTCGGCGCGGATAGAAAAGGCGGCCCAAGCCCAACGCGCTGACCCAAACGGACGCGCGTCCGTTTTTCGTCTGCGGGCGACCCATTCCCGGCCCATTTTTTAGCCTGATTTGCGTCAGCGCGGACACGTGACGGACGCGCGCGCTCGCCCTCTTTCTTCACCGGGCCCGCTGGTCGGTGGCACATTGGCCTCCCCTCTCACCACCCCCCTCCCCCGGCCAACAAGCAACCCTCGCCCCACCTCCTCTGTCACCGACGCCGCCGCCATTTTTGCCGGCGACTCTTCCAGCTGCCGCCGCCTCCACATCCGCCCAGCAACGCCGCCCCTGCCCCCAGTTGCCCGCCGCCGCCGTTTTGCCGCCGGGAGCAAACTGGTTCCCGCCGCCGCTTCCCCCACCGCACAGCCGCCCGCGACCAAGAAGACGCCTCGCCTCCCCCGCCACATCCGACCGGCACGCTCGTCGGACGCCGTCACACTCGTCGGACGCCGGCAGGGCAGCTAGCTGGCCTGTGGGTGCCGCGTCTCCCCTCGCCGGCCGTCTCCTTCTTCGACACCCGCAAGCTGTTTGACAGTTTGCCAAGGTACGAAAATGGACTCCGCCGACGAGTTCTTTTTCCATAATTTCCTTTGCGACTCCGACGATTCGTCGTCCGACGACGAGGAGGAGATATTGGCTGCCTGTTGGCCCACCGGTGAACTTTACTGTCAACGGCCACAACTACGACAAAGGGTACTATTTGGATGACGGTATCTATCCTCAGTGGACCACTATTGTCAAGACAATACCCAACCCTGTAGGAGAGAAAAGGAAAAGATTTGCCCAAGAGCAAGAGAGTGCTAGGAAGGATGTCGAGCGTGTCTTTGGTGTTTTGCAATCTCGATGGGGCATCGTTCGGTATCCTGCTAATACTTGGAGCACGCAGAAATTATGGGGCATCGTCGATATCATCATATCTAGTTCAATCTCATTATTGACAAGTCTCTTTACTCATTCCGTAATGCATCATCCCGCAACTAACTCATTAGTCACATTGCTTGTAAGGCTTATAGTGATGTGCATTACCGAGAGGGCCCATAGATACCTCTCCGATACTCGGAGTGACAAATCCTAATCTCGATCTATGCCAACCCAACAAACAC